CCTCCCAATTTTCAAGTCTCCTTTTACTCTTTTGGCAAGGTCTTTTGATGTGCATAAATGCTTAATTTTTAGGAGGTCCTAGTCATCTAGTTTGTCTTCTTCCATTGTGGATTTTTAATATGTTCATAGTGTATTTGTGCCATGTATTACAGCTGCTAACTTTGCCCCTATTTTTCCTTTGTTGTTGTTGCTATTTGCCATCAGGTCAGCCCCAACTCATAGCGATCCCTCCTTGGGTTTCCGAGGCAGTATCACTACGGATTGCCCAACCTTCCTTCTGAGGAGTGGCTGGTGGGTTTGAACCGCCAGCCTTCTGGTTAGCAGTCAAGTGCCTTAGGCACTATGCTACCAGAGCTCCTAATTTTTTTTTTTTAGGTTTTACATTTAGGTCTTTGATCCATCTTGTGTAATTTTTCCCATATAGTGAGAGATGTGGATCCTCTTTCATTTTTCTACAACTGGATATCCAGTTTTGTCAGGATTTGTTAGAGACTCTCTCTTCCCCATTAAATGGATTTCAGCCCTTTGTCAAAGATCAGCTATTCATAGGTGGATGCATTTACTTCTGGGTTGTCCCATCTGTTCCATTGGTCTATGTTTTCATCACTGTGAAAGGTTTATAACCTCCAGGCTGTTTTGACTACTGTGGCTGTTCATTAGGTTTTGAGATTGAGGAGTGTGATGCCACCTACTTTGGTTTTCTACTATATGATTCTTGTGGGAACGCGTATAGGATGGATTAGCAGGAAAATGAGAATCTGGCCTAATGCTTAAGAGATGATGTATCAGAGGATAATGTAAAGTTATGAAGGACAAAAAGCCAGCATTATGGTGGCAGATACATATCAAATTGAATCCATATAACTTGAGTTGTCAACCAGGAATTCCCAACCGAAACTGCCTCCTGTTAGCTATTATTATGTCAGTTGCTGTTGCTTATAAAGGCACTGTTTTTCTAAAGGATGAGGTTAATGTTTGGATTTGGAACGTGGTGGGTATTATAAAGAGATTCATGTCATCTTGTGATACAGAACAATGATTCTCAATGTGAGGTCCCTTAGCTGCAGCACTGGCATCACCTGGGAAGGAAAATCGTTAGAAAGGCAAATTCTGGGAACATTCTTGACCTACTGAATTAGAATCTCTGGGGTTGGGGCCCCAAAATCTGCTTTGAAACCTGCCTTCAGGTTTTTCTGATGCATGTGAAATTCGAGAACCACTTGTGTAGAAGGAGCTTGGACTTTAAGATGAGCAGCTATGGGGTCAAGTCCTAGGTTTCTGTTTACTTAGCAGAAATCTGTTCTTCATCTGTAAAACAAGAATCTTGAGCTTGGAAACCATTAAAACTCCAGTTCTGAGTCTGTGTTTGCATTTCTTTCATAAATCTCTGTAAACCTTTCATTCCAGAGCACATTTCTTAATACCTGCATATTTCTTGATCCTAGTAAGGGATATAGCCACCCAGAGAATAAGGCAAACACGGGAACTCAGCTCCTGGCAGAGAGGTCTATTTATATTAATAAACCATGGCCTTTTGATGGGGCCATCTTTCAGCAAAACTGTGAAATAAGCTAGTTTGCTTTTACAAACCCCAATTTCCTAATTCTGAACTGGGGAAACTATCTCATCAAAGCACAAGCTTTTCTAACCATGTTTGCTAAGTATCAGTCAGTTTTGACATGTGCTCTTGTGTGTCAGAGTAGAACTGTGCTCCACAGAGTTTCCAGTGGCTAGTTTTTTGGAAAGAGATCACCAGGCCTTTCTTCCAAGGCACCTGTGGGTGGACTCGAGCCTCCATCCTTTCTGTTAGCAGCTGCACATGAACTGTTTGCACCACCCAGGGACTCCAGTGATGGGTAAGTTGTTGTTTGCCATCGAGTCAATTCTGACTCATTGACTGTCTAGGACACAGTAGAACTACCCCATAGGGTTTCTTAGGGTGTAATCTTTACTGGAGCAGATTTGCAGGTCTTTTTCTTGTGGAGCTGCTTGTAGGTTGCAAAGTGGATCTTTCAGGTAGTAGTGGAGCACTTAACCATTGCTGTACCAGGGCTCCTTGATTAGTAAGTAAGTAAGTAGGATATCATTTATTTTTATTTGTGGAGAGAATAAAGGATACTCCTTCTACTCTCCTCTTGACAGAGCCTAATCAGCCCTAACAAAACCACTCAACTCAGTAAAAAGCATGAACCTGGCCACAAGGGGATGGGGTCCGGGTTGTCCAAATGGTTCTAAAAAATGCTTTTAGTATATGCTAGCTCCTTTATGGTGTGACAAGGATAAAAGTCTTGTCACTATTCCCATCTTCTATTGCTTGATGTTTCTCTGGGGGTCGGACTATAGAATTTGAGAGCTTAGCATGGGAATGAGTAACTTCATCCTGTGTGCCATTGACAGTCTAATTTCACAAATATAAGGGGGAAAAAAGGCAGGAAGGTAAGACATGAAGGAATAAAAAGGGAAAAGGAAAATAATACAGGGAAAAAGAAAGAAAAATAGATGTACTGTGAAATAATGTCATTTGACAAAGATGTTAACTATTAAAGACAATGAAGTAACATAGAGAAATAGTGTCAAAAAATACTGTTATCCTGACAGCCTCCTGACACTTCCACAGTCATCCTCATATTTCCTTTTGTGACTGTGACTGATGGCATCTACACGATCCCTTAAGCAAAAAACCTAGGCAACCCTCCGTGCATCTTACTGCCTGACCTCCCTGCTTACAGTTGCACACTAAACCAAAAAAAACCCCAAACTCACCGTCGTTGAGTTGGTTCTGACTCATACAGATCCCTCCTTGGGTTTCCAAGGTGGTTATCTCTATTGATGTAGATTGCCCAGTCTTCCTTTCGAGGAGCGGCTGGTTGGTTAGAACTGTTAGCCTTCTGGTTAGTACTCAAATGCCTTAAGCACTACACCACCAGAGCTCCTAATTGCACACTAAGTCTTATCAATCCTACTTTTTCCTATATGTCCCATCCTCTGTCTCCCTGGCATTCACCTTAATTCAGGCCCTGATTTCTTGTGGCCTGAACCATTTCAGTGGTTCTCCAATGACTCTGCCTAGCATTCTCATTCTTTACAGAATTATTTTCTCACAGTATAGTGGTTAAGATTCTCTGAAGCCAGACTGCCACAGTTTGAATCACTACTAGCTGTGTGTTCTTGGTAAAGTCACTTAGATCTCTCATCTATAAAATGGGGGGTGAGGGGGAAGGTAACAGTATTATCTCACATGGCTGCTGTGAGGTTTACTTGAAGTGATACAGGGGAAGTAATTACAAGGGTGTTTGGTGCATCTGAGTGCTTGATAAGTGATAGTATTTTTACAATTGTTTCTCTCCAGTTTATAATCCTTCAGTGGTTCCCTTTGCTAGAAAGCTCTCCCACTCCCATTTATCAAAAGCCTTGGGTCAGGAGCCTTCTCATAAAGCCAAAGGGCTATTCATATAAGCCCAGCCTAACGTTTCCTCCTTTGGGCCTTCATTTCTAGCCTCTCACTGTACTCCCCACACTGTCATGTTATAGGATTATCTCTTCTGGAGGACATGAACTACTTGAGGGTAGGGATAATGTCTTTTTTTCTATCTCCAGGATCTCTCACAATGCCTGGCAGACTAGACAATAAGAAGTAATTAGTGCTAACTGCACATGAATATGGGAGCTCTGGTGGCATAATACCTAGGCATTTGACTGCTAACCAGAGAGCTGGAGGTGCAAACCCACCACCAGCCACTCCTCAGAAGGAAGATTGGACAATCTACTTCCATAGAGATACCACCTTAGAAATCCAAGGAGGGGTGGCTATGAGTCCAATCAACTCAATAGCAGTGAGGTTTATTTTTTTGGTGCATATGAATAAAGCAAAGGACTGGGAAGGAAAAGTTATTTTGCTAGGCTGATAGGATGGTGGACATTTTAGCCCATGTTTTTATTATTTTAACGTGATTTCTGTAATAGAAACATAAAAATGGCTCCCATGCATCTGTACAATCTCTCTTTCACTTCAGTTAAAAGAATGGACTGGAGTGAGACTACCTGTATCAGAATGCTAGTTCCACTACTACCAAGCTGTCACTTGAAGAAAGCTGTTTAAATTCTCTTAGACTGTTTCCTTATTGGTAAAATAAGCGTTAACAGTAGTACCTAACTCAACCAGCTGTGACAAGAATGGAAAGCTTTTGGATTCATTAAGTGTGAGGTACAGGTGCAAACTGGTTACAGTAGCCAGCTGTAAGCTACGTGTTGGAGGAGCAAGGCCTGACCATCTACTTCCGAGAAATTAGTCACTGAAAGTTGTATGGTGCCCAGGTCTCCTTTGACACAGATGAGGTCACCACGAGTTGGGATCAGCTCTGACAGCAAACGGATCCAGAGTAGTCATTTTTATGAAAATTCTCTGCCTCTCTATCCATCTGTCAGTTTTGCACTGTTCTCTCTATTCCCTGTTGCTGCAGTCCACACCTCTGGCCTATATCATCCACCTCTGTATATGTACTCATTCGTGAGAAATAAAATACAGCAGGAAACAAACAAAAAAAGCAGTTAACCACTCCTGACATTTTGGTATAAATTCTTTTAGACTTTTTCCCATGTGTACACACACACATTAGTACTTCTTTTATTATTATTTACAAAAAAAAAAAAAAAAAAAAAATACCATGATACAAACTGCTTTTGTTTTACAACCTTTTTACTTACCATGATCCCTCCCTCCCATTCCATTTTAAGAGCCCTGTGAATGCCCTAATCCCTCATTTCCCTCACTTAAGGTCCCGCTGATCCTTCGCTTTCCTTGCACACAGATCCGGCCCTACTTGCCAGGACACCGGCCGCCCCGCCTCCGCCGGGTTCCGTCCCGGTACCGCAACCCCGCGTCTCGCGTCCGCCCGGGGCTCGTTGCTCTTGGCTCCTCCGTGCGGCCCGTTTCCGGTGGGGCACGGGCGTCTCCGCGGCGGCCCTGCTCCTGCGCGCTCAGCACTGCAGGCAGAGGCCAGATGCAGGCAGAACGAGGAGCCCGTGGCGGCCGCGGCCGGCGGCCCGACCGCGATCGGCTAGGCGGGGATCGTGACAGGGATCGGGCAGGAGCTGCAGCAGCGGTGGCAAGAGGCGGCGGCGGAGACGGAGGAGGCCGCCGGGGCCGCGGCCGGGGCCAAGGGTTCCGCGGCGCCCGCAGAGGCCGAGGAGGAGGACCTCCGCGAGGCGGCCGTCGGGAGCCGAGAGGTCGCAGTGCAGGGGCCAGCGCACCGGTAAGAAACGAGGGCTTGTAGGGCCGGGACTGGTGGGCCGGGGCCGCGAGGGAGCGTGCCGAGCGCGCGCGAGCTGGGCTGTGGCGGCGCCTGCGCGGGACCGTCGGAGCCGTAGGGGCGCGCGCCGGGTTTACACGTGGGAGTTGTGTGTGCTTCCCTCGCTGCTGTGTGGGGATGACGGACGACTGACTGTCGCCTCCTGGGCTTTCCTGGCCTGCCTAAGAGGTCCGTGATACGGAGAGCTTAAAAACCCCGGAACCAAGGCTGTGTATCAGGGCTATAGGTCCTGGGGGCGCCTGGTGGGGGCACGGCCAGGGTTTGGGCTCTAGGTACCAAGACCTGGGAAGCCTCACCCTGTGGGGGAACATTTCTGTCATTGGGGGGTACAGGTTTTTTTTTTTTTTTTTTTTGTATATATATGTTTTGCTTAATGCCGTGGCAATGCCTGGCACACAGTAGGCGCATAATAAAACTTTATTGAATGAAAGAATGCCCCCTACGGACCAGACTCAGATTTGCACTTGGGAACAGAGAGATTTAAGATTTGGGCAGACTCTTTTATTATATACAATGTGTAGAAATCAAGCTACTTGGCTTTCATCCTTGGAATTCTTATCTTGTGAATGTCAGAAGTCAGGTCTGAATTTTAATAGCAGTATGATTACTCATATCCCTACTATAGGAATCAGATTGTTGGCTATTTATGAGCTGTTCTCTTGTTATTTTAACATTTGTTTTTAGATTTTGAATTCTCATGCACATAAATTGTTTTTTTAAAAATTGAGGCAAAATCTCTTACAAAAATATTTACAGTCTTAAGGACATAGTAGATAAGATGTTGCTAACTATAGTAGTTGTATAAGAAATACAGAATTGGAAAGAAATTATATAAGGCTAAAAATTATGTATAATATAAGGTAGATAATAAGCAAAAATTGATAGGTATTAAGAAGTTTCTAGGGTCAGCTTATCTGCCAGTTTGAAGACAGAAAGGAAAGAAAGTTAAAACCAAGCTAGTGCTCATTAAATGTTACAATTTGTCCGTAAACAACTCTCCAAGATTATATACAGTGTGTATATATACTATATATCGACACAGTAAAACCTGCAAAAGCCAGAATGTGTGTAAGGTGGAAACCTGTCAGAGAAGGAAACTTCAAATATTTTCCACTAATAGAGATGATAGAAAAGTGGTAAGACTGCACCCTGTCAAAGATGGAAAACTTGCGAGACTAGGAAAAACAAGGCAGTCCAGTTGAGTTGCAGCTCTCACAGGTGTCACCAGTCTATGTATATATATATATATATATTTCTGTACATATTTCTACATGTATATATATCTATATTTCTCTATATATTCCTATATACATATATATAATATATATATATATATATATATATATATATTTCTCTTTATCTATCTATATTTATATGTATATATATCTAAGTAGGGGTTCTGGTGGCATAGTGCCTAAGGCATTTGACTGCTAACCAGAAGGCTGGTGGTTCAACACCCCCCCAGCCACTCCTTGGAAGGAAGACTGGGCAATCTATTTCCGTAGAGATACCACTTCGGAAACCGAAGTAGGGGTTGCTATGAGTTGAAATCGACTGGACGGGAGTGAGTTTAGTTTTATACCTAAGGAGACCAGGTGGTCCAAGCAGTTTGTGATCAGCTGCTAACCTAAAGGTTGGCAGTTCAAACTCAGTGGCTCCGCGGAAGGAAAGACCTGGTGATTTGCTTCCATAAAGATTATAGCCAAGCAAACCCTGTGGGAGCAGTTCTACTCTGTAACACATAGGATCGTCATAAGTTGGGGCCTAACTTAACAGCAGCTAGCAACAGCAATATCTATAAATATAAACAAATTATATATATAATATATATATGTACACACCCACAAAAGAATAATGAACAGATAGTCCCCAATTTACAATGTATTTGAGTTATGAAGAACCACACTGAAGGCTATTGTTTTTTGTTTGTTTTTGTCTTATCTTGAGTAGTATGTATTACATATAATGTTTAAAATATATTTATAACTTTATATGTAATGTTTTCAACACTCCAAAACAAAGATTGGATTTATAAAAATACTGATAATAAAAGGTAATAATAATGAAAACTAAAAAAAATAAAAGCCGTGAGACCTATGTGAGAACTCAGTTACTGATAGAGTCCCTGGAATGGAACTCTGTTATAAATTGAGGACTACAAGGAACTCTGGTGGCACAGTGCCTAAGGCATTTGCCTGCTAACCAGAAGATTGGTGGTTCAAACCCACCAGCCATGCTGTGGAAGGAAGACTGGGCAATCTACTTCTGTAAAGACTAACTGCCTTGAAAACCCAGTGGGGGCCGTAATCAACTCAATGGCAGTGGGTTTTTTTTTTTTTTAAGCTGTATATACAGGTATATTAAATTTTACAAGTCAGTTATATCATTTTTATAGGTTAACTGACTTGCTTAGGTTTCCACAGCTGATGGCAGGACTGGGATTTACACTTAGAATTCTATGACTACATGTGCCAAGCTACCTTTGAATAGATTATATGTTATCTCTTACATTTTTGATGATTAATCACCACTTTACTGAGAACAAAGTAACTACTTGTTGGCTGCAGGGATCATGTTTTCATAGTAATTTTAGTAATAGCACCCTCAGTACTTACTACAGTGTCTGGCACACAAGCTTTAATAAGTGTCTTTAACTTGTTTTATTGAGTGAATGAAGATGCTTTTGTCTTATTCATCTCCACTAAACTAAATTGAGTAAAATAATCATTTAGAGAAAGAATAATATAATAAAAAATAATATAAGATTAAAATAAATTTATGCCATTATTGTAATGCTTTATATTAAAGTTTTAGCCTTTGTCAAGATGGTCTTAAAATTCTACTTTATATATTCTTTTAGGATTTTTCACGTCATAGTTACTGATTAAGTGTCTCAATGTATGTAAAATACTTTTCTCCTTGACCATTATTTCACTTACACATTTCTATTATTGACACAGATCCTTGAACTTTTTTGTTCTGCTTTAAAAATTTGAGAACAGGTATCACATTCTCTTCTTGTGGTGGTTACGTTTGTTTGTCAACTTGGCTGGGCCTGGTTGAATGGCTGGGCAGCTGGATGCGTTATTCCCCACGATGAGACTGGTAATCAGCTCCATGGTGGAATCTACTGTGAGCAGCTGAGTAGCTGCCTGTGGGTATGTGGTCTGCTTTCTGAATTTAAGAAACAGTTTTGGGAATGGTCTCTTATGGCACGCTTGAACCCTGCACGTACCAGTGTCATTGTTTAGCAGCCTCCCATGCTCTGCTGACCTTGGGACTTTCAATGGACTTGAAAGTGGTTTGATAACATCGGAACTGTGCCATTTTATTTGTCGACCTTGGGCTTGTTAGCCTCAGCAGCCAGTAGCTGCCTGAGTGAAGAGATGCTTCTAGCTTCAGTAGGCTGGGACCAAGAGGCAGAACTGAAGTCCAAGGTCCAGGGGCTTTCACCTAGCCCCTAGAGCCTGGCATTTTTTTTCTTTTTTCTTTTTTTTTTAGGGTTTGGGTGAAGATTTACAGAGTAAATTCACTTTTCATACAGCAGTTCACATATACTTTGTCTCATGTCATTGACCAAAATTTACAATGCAGCAGCTCCCCTCCCACTTCCTCCCCATAGTTACCTCCTCCCAGTGTCCATCCCTTCATATTCTTTTGCACCCTGAGCTATCTCCCTATGCATAAGCAGCCCTTCCTTCTCCCAAGATTGTTCTCTCCAGGGCGTGTGTCTACTTGAGGTAAATGTTTAACTCACATGCCTGTACTTTGTTTGAGAGCCTGGCATTTTGAACTTGGATTTCTAGCCTCCTGAACTCTAAGAGAATAAACTCCTGTTTGATACGGCCATCCCATTTGTGGTATATTCTTGTCAGAGCGGTACTAGGTAACCAGAACAACTCTAAAGTTTGTATCCAACATCAGTGGTTCAGATAGTTGAAAAATATCTAATTATCAGCATGTTGCATACATTGACTTTTTAAATAAATCTGTTACATCATTCTTATAAATGTATCATATGAATTCTAAATGCTATAGTGATTTGAGATTCACCATTATCCATTTAAGAAATACATTAATAAACTCTTTGGCAGTCAGATTCACTTTGTTCCTTACCCTCTTTAACTTTCATTTTGGGTCTACATCTTCCACGGAACTTTTATCTAGTTTAGTATCTTTTCATACTTTAAAATCTTTTAGTGACCACCCTATCATGTTTCCCTATAACAAATTTAGGTATTTTTCATGTCGTGTAATCTTAAGACGTGTATATAAAAAATTTTTTTCTAGAGTGAATTATAATTACATTGATTAATATACAGTTGATTTTATTAGAATTATTAAATCTAAAAGTAAAATATTATTGTGAATATATCTTATTTTCCTTAATAAGTTTAGAGATCCATGAAATAGGATTCAGTGTAAATCTGTTCCTAATTTTTGTTTTTATAGATGTAAATTGAGAAATATTTACATAAATAGGTAGATGGGAATGGTTAGGTTTTTTTTTTTTTTTTTTTAAATATATAAATGTCACTCAATTCTTTGAATACCTTTCTGTTTATGTGTCAAAATCACTATATTGAAAACAATTTTAGTGATCTATGAACTGACAGTTAGATTAGGTCCTCCATCAATTTTGTTGAAAGCAAAGAATTGGAAACTACCTGGCCTATTGCTTAGTCTTTAAAGTTAGACTTTCTCAACATCTACATCCATGTTTAAGATAAAATACCACCCTAAGGACATCTCATCCCCCATTTTCCTTTTTATTTTTTTTCTTGCAATCAGCCTCTTGTTAGCAACAGATGGTATCACTGCCTCAAGCAGCTGCAATTGTAAACAATTTTTGCTGCTGATTATTTTTGCTCTATTTGCACAGAGTGAGTTCTGAGTCTGGTCAAATAAAAATGAGCCTCGAGATTGGTACTTTTCACGGAAAT